TTGGTTTCATTTCTTACCGAAGAAATCCTATTACAAGCAAATCTGAACAATTACGCTAAAATGAAGTCCCCTTATGACTCTGCAAATCTTTAGAAATGAAGATGAGCTGTAATAGATTTAGCGAAAAATAGGATATAAAGAGCGATTAAGCCATTTACATATTTGAATATTGTGTTTTCGTACTACACTTTAAAACTACACAAAATCCTGAACTGTCAGCCGCTTTGCAAAGCGCCTCCATTTATACATTCCATTATCCGTTCATCGCCGTACTTTGACTTGTTTACTACTAAAATGTACTCGCTTGAATACTGACTCAGAAACAGAAAACAAGTTTAAGAAGTCATACTAAATTACTGGATCACGAATGAATCAACTTCAATAGTCATGAGCATTGTTTGCTCAGCTTCTCGTCCTTCCTTTTTCAGTCTCCTCTTCAGCATCCTCGTGATGTACCACCGAAAACAAATAGAACATTTGACTTCGTGCTGCTCTATCAATAATACTTCAGATATTCCAGAGGGATATAAGGCTGTATTTTCTGGAAGCTCTCAGCTTTACATGGGTTTATTCTCGACCATCAACTGCACGTTGAAACGCAACCTTAATAAAGCGCGTCAACTTTTAAAGTGATAATTCGAGTCTTACCAACGTTATGTATATTCATATGTGAGAAATGTTATTCCCTGGTTTTGTGTCCAATGTTCTCTATAACATATCAACCTATCTGATTGCCTTATTACAGTGAAGCATGCATCACTTGAAGTAATTAGATCTTGCTTTTAAAATGGCGTAAATCATGTAACATACTGTCATTTGAGAAAAAGATTACTATAATTTGATCGCTTAGTATGTTTCCTCCGGCTGAAGCAGGTCAATTATTGTTAAAAACGCTATAAGAACTGAAAACCAAACCATGTGGCTACCTCAGATCATGGTTGATATAAATTTGAGCTTAGTGATGTTCTATTCGTGATGGGTAAGTATAACTTTAAAAAATAGTTCATTGTTTTGATTATTATGAGATTATGTATAATTATGGTCTAGTTCGATATTAGTACTACTTTAATAAAAGACCTAATCTCGAAATTGTAGATTTGTAATTATGTGACTACATAATATATAAGATCTTACGTGGAAGTCACATCATTGTCTACAGTGACTATTGATATCGTAGCAATCAGCAATATGTCGCCTAGCACTTCTGAAGAATATATTTGAGCCAAGTGCAGGGTTATATGACCACATCTGCATGACCGAGCCATGTGCGTTCCATTATTTTCCGCTATTTTCGACATTGCTGAACTTCTCTCAGTCTTAAATGTTGAATGTGAATTTTCTCAATTATTCTATGTTCAGCTTTGAGTAACGTGTGGTTATAACCAATATCACTACACCACTCTTCCACTCGAACAAAAATGACGTTCGTTCGCTGCCATATAGAGTGGGATTGTTCAGCATCCTGGGTTACGAATAGAATGATGTTAATCATCCGGACCTTGGTAAACTGAAAGATAAATCAAAGAGAAGGTAGCAGCGACTGATCGAGAAAGACGTCATAATTTCAAAATTTTGAATAAATTCTTAACACACTCAAAATAAAAATCTATGTGAACATTATTCAAGTTAGATGGTGGTTGGAAGTAGTCAACAGGAAACCCTGGACCCGGGTTTCGTGCTACTTGGCACTCGTCAGCAAGGTGTACCTGTAATCTTGAGGGAACTGGTGCTCCCTGGCGGATTCGATCTCGTGTCACCCAGCTTCACAGTCAGAGACGTTACCACTGAAAGGACTCGGAAGGATAGGGACACACTTCGTTGCCTTTTTGTCGTTTCTGCCTACGCTCCCACCGACTGCAGTTCAGATGAAGTGAAAGATGAATTTTACAGAAAGCTCTCTGAACTTCTTCAGAAAGCTAAACGTTCAGACATAGTACTCGTGGCAGGTGACTTTAATGCTCAGATAGGTAGTTTAAACCAAACAGAAAGGCACAGCGAACAGATAATGGTGATCGTCTGCTGCAACTATGCTCAGACAATCGTTTATTGTTAGCAAACACAAATTTTAAGCATAAGGAGAGACGTCGTTTAACATGACGATCCCCTACAACAAACCAACGATGGACTCAAATAGGCCATATTGCTATCAGTCATAGTTGGAGAGGGTCGGTAGAAGATTGTCGCTCATTCTGGAGTACCTGCTTGGACTCCGACCATGCCCTAATACGGGCACTCATCTGCTTGCGCCTCACTGGACGCAAAAAAGCCACATTAAAAAGACCCATTAGAACTGAGTTGAGTAACGAGAAAACCAAAAGTAGGTTCCAGGAACAACTGAGGTCACACTTAGGTAGTTCTGAAAACGAGGCTGACCCAGATGTTGCTTGGAAAGATATACAAACAGCTGTGGAAACAGCAATGAAATCTATTAGTGACTTAAACCACAGAGTTACAACGAACTAGTGGATTTCTTCAAAGTCTATCACACTGATGGATTCTCGCAAACTCGTCCCATCAGGTTCCGAATATGATGAAGAGCGACAACAAATCAGATCTAGGTTAAGAAAAAGTCTAAGAAACGACCGTGAGCAGTGGTGGGCAACGAAAGCAAAAGAGATGGAAAAGGTGGCGACTATAGGGAACACAAGACAGCTTTATAAACTAATAAAAGAAACTGGAACTAATAAGTCAAGTGTAAGTGAGATTATTTCGGAAAAAGACGATACTCTCATCTACTCCCAGTCCAGACGTTTAGAACGATGGGCGGAACATTTTAGGGAACAGTTCAGCTGGCCTTCAGCGACTCTACAACTACCCTCCATTCCCAGACACTGTGAATGGAACAATGAAGTAGGTCCCCCAACTCTAGCAGAAGTTCAAAAGGCTATAGTTAATCTGAAACGAGGAAGGGCAGCTGGTCCAGATGGATTGGCTCCAGAAGTCTTTAAGGATGGTGGTCCAATTTTAGTGATTAGGTTGACTAATATTTTAGCTAAAATCTGGGAGTTAGACGTTATCTCATCTAACTGGTCGCAATCACTTATCGTCCCAATATATAAGAAAGGGTCAAAATCATCCTGTGACAACCACAGAGGGATTAGTTTAACTAATATAATATCTAAAATACTAGCCTCGATAATTATCAGACGCCTAACTAAGACTCGTGAACAGCAAACACGAGAGAATCAAGCTGGCTTCAGACCTGGTCGTGGCTGCATCGACCACATATTCACCATTCGTCAGGTTCTAGAACACAGGCATACTTATCGACGTCCGACAATAGTGATCTTTCTTGACTTAAAAGCAGCATTTGACTCTGTAGACCGTGAGATTCTGTGGCAGTGTCTGTCATTGAAAGGCGTACCCCAGAAGTACATAAACCTTGTAAAGGCTCTTTACTCGAACGCTACTAGTCGAGTCAGAGCTTATGGCGAACTGTCATCTACTTTTGCAACCTCAAGTGGTGTCCGTCAAGGCTGTCCACTTTCTCCATTTCTGTTTAACTTCATCATAGACCTACTGATGGAAATAACATTCTCGTCGACTGAATTCTCGGGTATCGATCTCCTACCAGGAGGTCCACTTATCGACTTAGAATACGCAGATGATATAGTCCTGTTTGGTGAAGACGCCGATAAAATGCAGAGTCTTTTGGTAGCACTAAGCAACAATGCCAGAATGTTTGGAATGCGCTTCTCTCCCTCTAAATGCAAGTTGTTGCTTCAGGACTGGTCTGCGTCAACACCTGAACTAAGGATAGGGAGTGAAGTGGTCGAACGCGTCGACAACTTCACTTATCTTGGAAGTCTGATCAACCCTAATGGGCTGGTATCGGACGGAGTCTCAGCACGGATTCGAAAAGCTCGTTTGGCCTTTGCCAACTTACGTCACCTATGGCGAAGGCGAGATATCCATCTATCAATAAAAGGACGAGTATACTGCGCGGCAGTCCGTTCTGTCTTACTTTACGGCAGCGAAACATGGCCTTTAAGAGTAGAAGACACCCGTAAGCTACTAGTATTTGACCACAGATGCCTTAGAAATATTGCTGGCGTCTGCTGGGATCACCAGATAAGTAATGGTGAGGTTAGACGCAGGGTATTAGGTAATGATGGTAAATCAGTCGATGAGGTTGTGAATCTTCATCGACTGAGATGGTTGGGCCACGTGTTACGTATGCCTGAACACCGATTACCACGTCGTGCAATGCTAACGGGTGTTAGAGATGGTTGGAAGAGAATTAGGGGCGGCCAAACCAAAACGTGGCATCAGTGCTTGAAGACGCTAACCTCTAGTCTGAGCCATGTTGGTAGATGCAGACTATTTGGTTGGGGTCCGCGTGACTCGTAACCGATGGTAAGAGACTCTTGGTGACATGGCTCAGAATCGATCACAATGGCGTCGGTGTATACACTCCCTGTCTTCTCTTAAACTAAGAGATTAAAATCACTTCATATCTTTCTTCCTACTAACTACTTTCTTCCTGTACTGTATCCTTATATGCAATCTTTCTCCTATATATTACCACCTTTGACCTAACCACTCCTATGAATCTGGTGTTCATCTTGCTGTGCTAATGAGGTATGGCAACCTGGACCGATGCATATATGTGCCTGGTCCTACGTTGTAGCTGACTGACTGAGTTGCGTAAGACTGGGATATGCTGGGCCATAAGGACTCTACTAGTGGGACTGGGGATTACGCAAGACTTGAGAGGTCGTTCGATACGATTGAGAATAGTTTATGGAGATGCTGTAGTTTTCTATTACAACGTTTTATTACGGTTTAATGAGCTTCCTTAAATCTAAAATGTCTTTCTAGCTGTATTTCAGTTAAACTGTATTTTGTTAAAAATTATTCTCATAAACTCATGTGCCACTTCCTCACTCAATGTTTTTCCTAACATGTCTATTCATTTTATGTGATGAATTTTCTCAGTGTCTAACTGTACTGACATTCGCGTTGTGACTGGTTAAGCATCATTACCCAAATTCTTAGCATCAAAAACCATCACAAGGACTTAATATCACTTGGAATGATTGTTTACTAATAAACATTGCGACCACTTTGATGTTGTGACCAGATGAATTTTTAAACAAAATTTTTTTTAAAAAGTAATAATAGAACTCACAGGAACTTTGCATAGCAGGGAATTCATTTGCATCCAATGTGATCAACTTTTCTGAATTCTTATTCTTTTGCATTTTTGGATCAACTCTCGTTAAATCTTCCGTGCTATTATGTTGAGGGTTTTCTTTGTTTGAAACCTCGCAAATGCGATCAGAAGAAATACGTTTTAATTCATGAGGTCGTCTAACTGATGGATGACTTCGTACAGATTTGTCTCCTTTTGGTGTTTTCTTGATGACAGATGCGTTACCTTGTCTAAACTGCCTGTGACGTGATGATTCTTCATCTTTACGTCTAATATCTCCACCACGGTTATTTAGGTAGGTTAAAAGTGGTGTGACAGTTTGTGTCTACAAAACAATCATCCGGAGGTTTAATACATATACATATGTGATATCTTGATGATTAGAAAATCCGGGTTTAACCCAGCATGTTACAAGTTTGACACTACTTGATTTGGGTAACCGGGTAGAAACCCTCAAACAAACGGTAAAACTAAGAACATAAACTCGTATTTGGTAAACAGGTCGTTGGATGGACGGATAAAGATAGAAATATGCAGACAAACAGTACAGATAATCAGAAAGATAACGACACTACTTACACGAGGTAGAAATAATATTTTCACGCACTAATGAGATAGCAAATAGGTGATAATGAGTAGTCAGACGTTTAATCTGACCATCAGCATCATGCAGAAAGGAAAAGAATGTAGGGTAAAATTATTCATGGGAATTCACGTGGGAATTTATAAGCTTTTTATAGCTAGAAACTGGTACATTATCAAGAAAGAAATATTTAGTGACAAAATAGTCAATATTGGAGAACGGGTTGTGTTTCGAGATAAAACGCTGAGCGAAGGAGAGAAGCCTCACGTATCTTTTTTCTACAACCGTAAACACACCAACACTAGTGGCGTGCCAAAGATATTTGTTCTTTCCCCTTTATGCATTCCATTGTACACAACAGTAACTAGCACCGTACGAAAAGCTCAGTAAGTTATTCAGGTGATAATAGAAATTGTGATATGTGGAAAGATTATGGACAGGCAGAAGCAATATGAATTATTCCATATGCAATGACAAAGACAACTTATATTACTTCCATACAAAAAAATTAACATTTTAACTGAAGGATTAGTGAATGATCGAATAACCTATCATATGTGCTTTAAGTTAATAATGTACTTTATTTATTTGTCCATCCCAGCTAACTATGTTACTTTTGGCTTTGAAACACTTACATTTAGGAAACAACACCGTCACCGACTATATCAGTTACCACAAATGCCCACATTTTGTGCAAGGGCCAGCAATTTTACCTGGCTACTAAGGCTGAGGTATGTGGGAAAATCTGGGCTTTCAAGTTAGTGGTTGGGAACCAACGCTTTAAACATTCAGGAGTTACCCAACACAGTAGCTAATGAAAATCGAGAAATTTTTGTAACGCTGTATAGAAGACTAGCTTACTCATAATTTGAGGACCAGGTATAACTATCTAAATCTCGCACTACGACGACGAAGCCTTTAGAAAACCCTTGAAGGGCTACCTTCACTTGAGCTTACATTTCACGATCCTCAAAATTACTCCAATGCGAACTTTTGAAATGTATAGGCACAAAACATGGATGAACTATCGAAAGGAAACAACTAGCTTATAACCAGATGATGAGAACCTTTCAAGGGTAACTCGTGTCGATCAGAGATAGACAAACTAATTACATTGCCATTAACCCCTAATAACATAACAAATCAACTTTTGTAGTATGTAATGCCACAACACACTGTAGGCACCTTACGATCTTCCAAGTTTAACACGGTCAATTTAATGCAAGGTATCTTGAATGAACATGGATAGATGTCCTGCAGTATTCAATATTTCTTTTCTTTGTAGATACTAAGAACATGTGGTTCTAAATTGACTTTTTGATTACTCACTACGTAGGGCTGGAAATACCATATAATGACTACGTCAATCCTAAGGATGAAAGCATCACTGACAAATTTAAACTTTACAGTCGTATGGTAATAGTTACCATTATATTATTGATGGTATATCACTTCTTCGAGTTCAAGTACAAAGTCATGACTTGAAAACAACTACGCATTTCATCGCAGCTGCTGCCAAATGTTACCGTGAGTTATGGTCACTTTGCCGAGCATTCAAATGTTTTGAGGAAATTTTTCGAATTTTGTATCCAACCTATGTAAGACCACACTTAGAGTACTGTATCCAGGCACCTAGCCCATGTCCGATAAAGAATATCAATTCACTTGAGCATGTTCAGCGTTTGGAAGCAAAATTAGTAAAAGGTCTTCCCAAACTCCCTTACGATGATAGCTTAAAATGCCTAAACCTTTTACCCTTCTCATATCGTAGGACGCAAAGTGACCATACACTAGCATTTCGTATTTTTAATGGTGATTTGGGTGTTAATGTCTTCTCTTTTTTGCTCCCTCAAGCACTAATAATTTCCGAGGTTATAGCAAGAAGGTCCACAAGCTGCGATCTAATAAACTTAAAGTGGGGTCCCGTTTTTCTCATTGAGTAGTCAATTATTGGAACGGCTTACCCAAACAAGTGGTACCAGTTCCATCAGTCAATATTTTCAAGGAGCTGAACCTTCACTGGAAGGCAATCTGTCAGGACTAACACAGGTTCACCAACCTACTATCCTTATTACTGAAGACTATGGGCAAAATGTTTGCACCAATCTTTGAGAATTTTATCCCTATTTAACAATATATACGTACGAATGATCAAGACTACAAACTGAATATTAAGGACGAAAAAATAATATTGCATTATCGCACTAACCTGAAGAGCGTTCGCTTCCTTGTTTTGGAGATCATCTAAAATGGATTCCCAGGGAGTTTTTTTAGACTCTGATTCTGATATTTCGGCACAAACTTCAGCAGATTGCGAGTTCATAAACTTCAAATATGCTGAGTCTTTCAACAAGGAACCCTGTTTTTTGTCCACTTTCTCTCCCTTATTATCGTCTGAAGAGCCTTTAGCACTTGCCAATGCTTGGCAAACGGCAAACTCTATAAGTGCAGAGGACTCATTTCCCTGAACGAGTAACTAAAAAACTAGGACTACCTCGCAATCCAAAAAAATGTAGCCATCAAACCTTTCTTTGAAATCAAATAGAGAATCTATGTCGTTGAATGTAATGTAAACCCGCGTCAGCCCCAGACCACCCAATGAGTCATCAGCACCGCAAAACCTAAAGTAGGTGTGAGAGGGTAGCGGGTCAACAATTCTGATGAAATCATCAGCACTTAATTTAGGAGGCAGCCCTCTCACAATGACCTTTGCAGGCAATCCTCTGACCATTTCGAAACACGAAACCCGGATAGGCCGCCGAGATGATTCAATAAAGTTGATCAACAGATTTGGATAAATGGGAAGCTCAACGACTTGTATTTACAACAGTTGTTGAAATGTCGCGATTTCTTTATTCTATGGCTTCAGCTATATGAAGAAGTTGTAGCGATGAAGAAATCGCCAAAACATATGAAGTCTTCGACATTGGATGCTGACAACATTACTTTTAATGGACTCACCTAGCTGAAGGAGCTCGGTCATGCACCCACACCAGATCACGAGTCGGAACACCGTGGTCAACATCCCCTGCAATCGCTAGACGGATTAGATTAGTCGATCCTTTATATATTGATAACCCACCAAATATGTTGTCGAATCTCCTCGCTTCTGTCTTTTGATTTCACTTGGTGATACGATTCATAGTCGGTGTTACTGGTTAAAGCGTCGTCAAACTCCGAATACCTGGTGCATCTTTATTAGTGAGCTCAGCGTGATCTGGTACAACAAATTGCAAACAGTGAATCTGTTTCTTTATGCGATTTTATATATCATTGCCTTATTTTTAATTCTTTCACATTTTGATATTTTTTCCGGGTTTTTGTATAGATTTTTTTTCACTTGTTCATTCTCGTAATTGGTATTTCATCATGACTGAACAGACACCCAAGGTAATTCAGTTAAAGACTATGTCCTCACCTTCCTTTCAATTAATGCCCTTCTGGCGAGACAACATCGAAGCCTGGTTCTGCTCCACAGGCCGACCTCAATGAGCACGGCGTGAACGACACACGCGCACAATTCCTCGGAGTAGTCAAGGCACTACTGTGCGAATTCAACAGGTACGTAACACCCAGTATATTTACTAGTGATGTTTCTGGACCACACGAGACACTGAAACGATCTATCCCTAAACACGGAGATCTAACCGGTAGACAAAGGTTAGACCAACTCTCCAATAACATTGACTTGCAACACGGTTCTGCGACAGATATGTTGCAAAGGATGAGAGAGGTGATTGGTCAAAGAACCTTCGATGATGGCCTATTCAGACAACTTTTCTTATCCAAATTTCCACAACAGGCGCAAGCTGCGCTGGTCTCGTTTCAAAGCGAGGCCGTAGACGAGTTGGCTGCATCTGCCAACCGCACCTTAGAAGTCATCAAATTTTCTAACGTCAAGGTTTCTTCAGTCAAAAAAGCCTCAAACAACACAGAATGACATAACCGAGTTATGTCATACATTTACACGTTATCTTAAATTTTGTAATGACCGTACATACCCCGCGTAGAAGCACCTCTCTTAGAAATTGCAGAAAACCGACAGGCACTCGTTAACGGCAACCATAACCGGCCAAAAGAGCCTTCACTTGTACGTCGCAGATGTGATAACGAAAGTTCGCCACCTCTTCGATACTGACGTAGAAGTTAACGATCTTCCCTCAAATTCAAACGATCGGCCTCACGAATCGGTTTGAAACTTATAGGCGGCAAACGGGAAGCCAATCGCCACATATGATAGAAGGTACGCTTACCTTAACGTGGGTTCACGCAAACCCATTCACTGGATTTTCGGTGTTGCAGATGTTTCTATGCCAATCATTGGTATATACCTGCTACAACACCACAATCTACTCATCGATACGCGCAAACGGAGGCTAGTAGATGGAAACACTAATTTATCTGTTTGCGTAACTTCATTTTCCGGTTGCAAACCCATCCACTATATTTGCCTTGTTGGAAGTATTTCTATGTCATTCATTGTTATAGACCTTCTACAACATCGTAATTCATTCATCATCACGTGCAAATGGATGTTAGTGGATGCCAATATTAAATTACCTATGTACGTGACTTCATTTTCTGTCTCTGTATATTACCCCCAGTCACTACTAAGCAAACAAACGCCCAATACTATCCACGGATACTCGACAATCACCCTCAACTGTACCCAATGCGAACAAAATTGCCATGTGTAACCAGTAATGTTGCATACTACATCACAACCACAGAACCAACTGTATTTTCGAAAGCGCACCGACTGGCTCCCAAAAAATTAAGGTTGGACAAAAACGAATTCGACAAAATGATAGACTTGGGAATTATTCGGCCATCGAATGGCCCATAAGCATCTTCTTCATTTATGCTTTCTAGAATAAAGAGCAACGATTGACGTCCAACTGGTGATTATCAATGGCTGAATATGAGAACCACACCCGATCGTTACCCACCGCAAAACATCCACGACCTGACATTTACCCTTGAAGGTAAAACTATTGTATAGAAAATCGATCTGGTTAAAGCATATAACCAAATTTTCATGGCTGTAGACGACATCTCTAAAACTACTATAACTACCCCTTTCAGAATCTAGAAATTTTCGCGTATTCATTACGATTTGAAAAATGCTGCACAAAATTCACCGAGATTCATCAAAAATATTTTTTGGGGTCTCAACTTCGTACATGAGTATGTAGAGGACTGCTTGATCACGATTTTAGACGGAGAATCTCTTCTCCAACATATAAACCTTGCTTACGAACGACACCAAGAGCACTTCACTCCTATGAACATTTTGTATTCTATTTGATTTGATTATTTCTAAACAGCTTATTGATGTATAAGTGTTGCGAAGAAATCATTTCGGGTTTCTTCAGAAATGTAGTTATACACATGTTTAAATAACGTTTGCACAATATTCGTCATATTTAAACAAGTTCTGTAAGATATAGAAAAACGTAGAATCGATCTTAGAGTTTGAATGTTTAGATGAAAAGAAAAGAAACAAAATGAAATAACCGAACAAAATTTCAAACGTTCCCCTTTGAGTTACATTCAGTTAAATAGATATTGGACCTTGTTTGAATAAATCATTGGTAATCACGCTGATATTTCGTTGGTGACACAAACAAGTTTCGCAATGAAACTCATCAGCCAAACTTTTGAAACGGGTTAAAGTTTCACTGCAACGGGGGTTTACCGGAACTGTGTATCCGCATACTTGAACAGCGAATAACAAAGAAATTAAGGAGTACATTTGTATAAGTTATCCGAACCATAGAACATTCTCTTTATGGAGCAGTTTGTGGGATGATATGATAAAGGGTGGACGCCGAAAAGTAAGAAATACCATTTTTAAGCCGATTGATGAAGACGAGGTTTGGTTAAATGCGTCTGTTGCACAGAGGTTCTTAATTGAGTTGTTGACATCTTTGGTGGTAATAGTTGTTGTCAAAATGCCCTGAAACAGCCTTAGTGAATATTTTCTCCAGTATACAGACCTTGTTTTCGAACGACTTCAAAAATACGGCATTAACATAAGCATTCGAAAATTTCAAATCAGAACCGACTCCCTAGATTTTCTCAGATGCATTATTAATGCTTATGGCATCCGTCCCCTAAGAACAGTAGCGACCTTCCTGGATTACCCAGAACCGACCACAATCAAATAACTACGCATGTTTAGTGACCTAGTAAGTTTCCATCGACAGTTTATATAGAATGACACGTTTCTCATGAGATCTTTAACTGGCCAACTTCGTGGAAAGGCGAAATCCATCGTAGCGAAAAAACATACTCTAAAGTTGAGAAAATTATTGCAAGAGTAGCTATCCTTGCATATCAGGGCACCGAAGCACCCATTAATATTTCAGTAGACACATCCGACTCGACAGTTGGAATAGTCTTATATTAATCGGTAAACAACACCTAATAGTCTTTGACATTCTTCTCGAGACGGCCGCAAGACAGTGGGTCGATGTATAGTGTTTTCCGAAAAGAACTCATAGCCACGTATTTAGCTGTACTGAAGTTTCAAAATTCTGTGGAAGTTTGGAAACTCAATTTGTCTACCTACCACAACACTCCTAACTCCTTCTTATGCTCGTCACAATACAAGAATTGAAACTCTTCCACTCGTGCCACTCGGTATTCTCATGGGGTACGCTGGATACACTAACGCACAAGACGACACTCCGAAATCAGCATTTTTTCTCATCTATGTAAGTGGATCTAAGTTCGTACACGAACCGGCTTGAAAACGCCACGCGTTCAGATAAACCTGTTCTGACTCAATCACAGTCAACTGATGTTTCAGCATAGCCTGCCTTGAGAGTTAGTATACACACTTTTGTACGCCGCAATTCGTTATGACGACCTCTAGAAATGATATACGAAGTAGTTTATCGTAAACCTAAATACTGTATCATCGACAAAAGTGGAAACAAAAATAAGATCATAATTGACAGTCTTAAAGCTATGTGTTTAAAAGGAAATACTGATAGAGTTAGTTTGTCGCCTATACATTCAAACAACATGAATTTCACGATTACGACAACCCACCAGATTATCATCAACCAGGATAAAATGTCGTTGCTATCTGATAGCCGGCTCAAAATAAGACACTTCGTAAGAGGAATAAGGATCCCGAGACACTAAATCGATTACTGAGGGATGTAAATTGTTTATTCCCGTTCCTTTTACGTCCTACAAATGTAAAGTCATGCACGTTTTTTTATATCGTTGTGTTAAAAACCAAAAACCGTCATTTATATAGTATAATTATTTATAAGTTAATGTGTACATTTTTTAAAAGGAAAAACCACGGAAAAAATATTTTATGAGAAAATGCATATGCGCATATATTCGAAGTTTTTCGCGCATGTTTGTCTCTTTACGCAACTTGGAAGGAAAATCGACATACACTTATATTTTCGATTTCTTCTTTCCCACTACAGCTGTTCGAAACAAAAGCTGGCGAAGCATACAACGAATCAAAAAATTCTTTTTAACTTTTTTCAATATCATATTGTAACGCATGAATCCTAACACAAAAATAAATAAATAATAATAAGTTCCAGATCAGTATGTGTTCATACTATGAGTATCTTCAACGTTGTATTTAATGCAAAACACAAAGCAGCAAATATATCCTCGAACTGAAGTTCTGTAAGTCATCAAAATCAATTCCAACCCTGTTGGTGTTTTTAGACGTAGCCTAACTGAACACGCTCG